AAGCTGCAACAAGAAGGTTGGTTTAATGGGATTTTCTTGTCGATGCGGGAAAGTTCTATGCGGTGTTCATCGTTATCCTAAAGAACACTCATGCAACTTTGATTTCAAACAAGCTGATAGATTGATTTTGATTAAAGAAAATCCCATCATCAAAGCTGATAAGCTAGATTCAAGGATTTAAATTTTTTTTTCTTTTTTTTTTGTTTCTTTGAATTGTAATTTCTCTCACTTGTTGATGAAGGATTATATAAAGTTTTTATATTATGCTCTCTTCTTAGTTTTAATTTGTTTTAATTATATTCTTGGTTTCAATTGGCTGACTATCATTATTTTAGATAAAATCAAGCAGAATAATAGCATCATAACCAACAGAAATAATAAATAAACAGAGATCAACCAATCAAAAAGAAAAAAAAATCTCTGACTTATTTTTTTCTTTCAGTTTAATCTATAATTTCACTAATATTAAGCCTGTTTCTAGTTTACGATACTGATACTGATTCATCTAATTAATTATTTATTGTATAACGACTTAATTCCATGCTAATTACAAGTCTATGCTACTAGACGTTGTTGAATATGACACTTTTTAATTTAAGGCATAATAAAGCCAAACTATTATAATATAGTATCCGATTTGAGTTTGAACTTGAGTTTTATATGATAGTATAGTTAATAAAATCAACTTAGAATAGGGTGAGTTAAATTAAATTTAGAGGGATCTTTATTTATTTAATTAATCTTATTTTGAATATAATTTAAGATACAATAATTCAAATTAATCATAAAACTAAATAATCTAATGTTAAAGAATATGAAAGGACATAATGTGGGTTTAGAGTCTTCTAGTATATAGGCTGAATTGTGGGGTTTTATAAATGATTTATTATTAACAAAAAAAATGTCATGATTATCCATCGGTTTAATTACACACTAGTTTATTTTGTTAATAATGTTTATGATAACAATGATAATATTTATAATTCAGATTTAATTTAAAAAGTATTACATCTTTTATAAAAGAAAATTTGAAGTTCAAGATTTGAAACCTCAATCTTTTTAATACCTAGGATGCACTATTTCCCTTTTTTGGGAAAAAAAAAAAGAAATTATAGTCTTCTAAATCAATTATAGTCAGTTTTTGGGCTTTGGAGCAAGAGAAGCCCAATGGGCTTTCAGTCGATTAGATATTCAGTAATCAGGGAAAAGAGCTTGTAGATCCCATTTATGAAAAAGGTTTTCAACGGTAACGTTTTCCCAACGGTCGACTAAAGAATTCAAATTCGAAAATTCTTCTTTCCATATACAACCCAAAATCAAACGCATCCAATTTTTTCACTTCTTGTCCTCTTCTTCTTGTTCTTACACACTTCCACCAAGAATCCGAGAAAATTCTCAAGTATTTTCTCAGCAACCAAACACTTGATTTCCCAATGGATGATTCCCAATTAAACGCTTTCCTTCAAAACCCAGACACCCTTTTCGCCAATCCCTCTATTCCTAGGGTTTTTGACTGGGAAAAGAATGACATGGCCTTGAATCAAGATAAACCTAGTTCTGCCATGGACGAAGATGAAGAAGAATCTTCGGTAGATTCAATGCTTTGTGACTCTAATTCAAGGCTAATCCCATTTGGGTTTTCCAAATCTAATTGCACAGGTAAGTAATGCTTCTTAAATTTCATGTCTAGTTAAAATCCTAATTATTACTATTATTTTTGCTCAGCTAAAATCATAATTATTTAATTAATAATAAAATTATGGAACAAAAGAAAGCAACTAAAGTATTTTTTCTTGATAAAAAAAAAGGCTATAAAGTTGTTTCGTGATTTAATTACATGGAGTCTTTTTGTTTTTTAGTCTGGTCAAGTACATGTATTATTTTAGAAATTGTATGAAAATTTTAATATAGAAAAGAAAAAATAGAGCGAAATTCTGTTCACACTTTTTGGGGTAACTTTTATTATTTATAAATTATTATATTCTTATTTTGCAGATTAATTTAATTCTTATGAGTAAATCATGAATTTTGACTTTATTTGTTAGTTCTTAATGGTTCAGAGGATCAAATATGATTCAACTGAGGTTGTTAGTTTTTCTGGTTTTTTCATACAATTTACAGATGAAGTTATGATGTTTATAAATGCTGGAGGTGAGGCTTTGAATGAAGCAGATTCCAGAATGAAATTTCTGGGGGATAGTTACTTTGAAGGAGGAAATGTTATGCAGACAAATGAGCATATAACTCAGGCTGGAGATTGTCCATTCATTTATCAGTCAGCGAGATTCGGGAACTTCTGCTACCGATTCAATAATTTTCCTCCTGGAGACTATTTTGTTGATCTTCATTTTGCAGAGATCATAAATACTAATGGACCTAAAGGAATGAGGGTATTCAATGTCTATATGCAGGAAGAGAAGGCAAGTTAATAAAGACAAAATCATTTCAGTTTTAATTTTATTTTTCACTGTATAGAAATGTTAAAATTTTGGTGTCAATATGGCAGGTACTATCAGATTTTGATATCTTCTCTGTTGTTGGAGCCAATAAGCCTTTGCAAGTTGTTGATTTGAGGGTCTCAGTGAAGGGGGATGGGCTAATTGCATTGAGGTTTGAAGGAGTTATTGGAGGCCCAATTGTTTGCGGGATTTGTGTCAGGAGAGCACAAAATATTCCAGGTACTGTTATTTGCATTCCCTTTTTTTGATTCATTCTCAACTATGACTATGGAGCATGTTAGAAGAACTGCTTATTTGAAACCTTATTTCCAATATAAGAACAGATCCTCAGGCGTCGCAAGAATACCTTAAGTGCAACAACTGTGCTGCTGATATAGAAGTTTCCTCAGCTCAGGTTAGAGTTTATTTACCTCCGATTAGATGCTTTCAGTATGAGAAGTTAGTTTCTAAACTTTTTGCTTATTTAGACTTTTTATTTTGGGCTTGCAGAAGAAACTTATGAGAACAAAAGTTACAGATAAATATGAGAAGAAGATACAAGAGCTCACTACACAGTGCCAGCTTAAGACACATGAATGCCATGAGGCATGGATGTCATTGACTTCTGCAAATGAGCAGCTGGAGAAGGTTAGGATGGAGCTTGACAACAAGATCTTCCAAACTCGCACACTAGGTATCATTTTATATATTTCCTAAACCATTCTTTTAATTGAGCAGAAGAAGACTTGTTCAGTTAGTAAAGAAATCTTCTAGAGTGATTCTGATAGAAGATGCTTATTAGTTCTTAGTTTTAATTACTTGAGAAAATACATTTCTTGCATAACTGATCTTAAAACCTTCTGTTCTTGCTAAATCATTGCTTGTTCTTCAATATTCTTGTATGTATGAAGTTTTCTGAGTGGGGGAGTATTTGTGGGTAATGGTCTAAAGGCTGACCTGATCATATATGCTGAATATATGTTAAAAAATGCTAATGACTTCTTAAATAAAATGAAGAAGATTATGTGTGATGGGGTTTGTTTATATACAGATATGTCTGACTAGTTGGGTGATTAAGTTCTATAACTACAAGAATAGTCTTATGCTTGCTTCTTTTGAACACAACAAATCTTTTCTTGTCAGATGAAACTGTGGGGAAACAAGCCGAAAATTTGAAAAATATTACTAGCAGGTACGAGCATGATAAGAAGTATTGGGCCGCAGCAGTCAATGATTTGCAAGAGAAAATAATGGTAAATGATGTTATCTTGTCAAAAATCTCTTATTTCACTTGAGGAGATTATTTCTTGCAATGCATTTTATTATTGATTTCTCTGCAGATAATGAAAAATGAACATGCTCAGCTCTCGCTTGATGCACATGCCTGTGCTGAGTCAATACCCGAGTTGAATAAAATGGTCACTGGCGTTCAGGCATTGGGTAGGTTCTACTTTTGAATTGGTTTAGTGAGTTGGAGTTTGCATTTATGCATCTGCATGGGCTCAGTCAATCATTATGCAGTTGCGCAGAGTGAGGATCTCAAACTGAAGTACAGTGAGGAGCAAGCAAAGCGAAAGGAGCTCTATAATCAAATTCAGGAAACAAAAGGCAAGAGTTTTTCTCTCTTCTGAGTAGTTTAGTGGTGCATCTTTTGAAATTTATCATTGAAGACTGTAAGGGAAAAACACTTGTCACACTGTATGTTTTTTAATATCAGGTAATATCAGAGTCTTTTGCCGGTGCCGCCCACTAGGTAAAGAGGAGATATCGGCTGGTTGTGCTCTAGTTGTAGATTTTGATGCAGCAAAAGATGGAGACCTTGGAATTCTGACAGGTGGTTCCACCAAAAAGACATTCAAGTTCGACCGAGTTTACACACCAAAAGACAATCAAGGTAGCAATTAACTGTCATACTACCAACTCGACATAAGCATTCAAAACCCTGTAAGTTGCTGATTTAACTAGAAGTCATTTTGTCTTAACAGTTGATGTTTTTGCGGATGCCTCGCCATTGGTGACATCAGTGCTAGATGGCTACAATGTCTGTATTTTTGCTTACGGGCAAACAGGAACAGGAAAGACGTTCACAATGGAGGGCACTGACCAGAACAGGGGAGTCAATTATAGAACCCTTGAGCAGTTGTTTCAAATTGCCAAGGAAAGGAGTGAAACTTTTATGTATAACATATCTGTTAGTGTTCTTGAAGTATATAATGAACAAATTAGAGACTTGTTATCTACATCACCAACATCAAAGAGGTGAGACAGCTTTATTTTAACCAGTCATTTTTGAAACTTGGTATCCTGAATGTAGAGTGAATGGTGATTCTGGCCCAAGATGATTTGCCTTGCGACATAAGGCTTAATGGATTCACTTTGTTTGGGTGCTAGATTGGAGATAAAGCAATCTGCTGAAGGGTTCCATCATGTTCCAGGCATCATAGAAGCCAAGGTTGATAACATCAAGGAAGTTTGGAATGTATTGCAGATTGGAAGCAATTTGAGAGCTGTTGGATCAACTAATGTGAATGAGCATAGCAGCCGATCCCACTGGTATCAAGATCCCTTTTCGTTTTTTACATTCCATTTAAATGAATGAAGATCTTTCAAATTTTCGTTGTCCTTTCCTCATTAAATTTTATAAAGAGAAGTTTTTCTTTTGTTTTTGTTCAGCATACTTCGTATAATGGTAAAATCAAAAAACTTGATGACTGGTGACTGCACCAAGAGCAATCTTTGGCTTGTGGATTTGGCAGGCAGTGAGAGGCTTGCCAAAACTGATGCACAAGGGGAGCGACTCAAGGAGGCTCAAAACATCAATAAGTCCCTTTCGGCTCTTGGGGATGTAATATATGCATTAGCAACGAAAAGCAGTCACATTCCATACAGGTCTGTTGATGGTATATCTTTCTCAACAATAGAGTCGCTGGCCCTTTTGCTCTTGTGTTTGACATCTTTCATTTGATTTCAGGAACTCAAAGTTAACACATTTACTTCAAGATTCATTAGGTAAATATGGGTGATTCATACTGTGGTTGTTTTTGGTATTAGATTTTGGAACAATCAGCCTTCTAATACTGCAACTAACAGTAGCTAGTATTTATCAGGGGGTGACTCCAAGACTTTGATGTTTGTGCAAATTAGCCCTTCGGAGCGGGACTTAAGTGAAACCTTGAGCTCATTAAATTTTGCAACTCGAGTTCGAGGGATTGAGTTGGGTCCTGCTAAGAGGCAAGTTGATACAAGTGAGCTCCAAAAGATGAAAACATTGGTAGGTCTAGTTATTAAGTGTAGGTCTATTTAATAAGTTTAGTGTTTGCTTCCAACAATATTATTGATCACAAAATCGATCAAGATTTTGACTGCAAGTACTTTTAAATTCTTATAAAGCTTGACAAAGCAAGGCAGGAAGCTAGATCCAAAGATGAGTCTGTAAGGAAACTAGAAGAGAGCTTACAGAACGTAGAGAGTAAGGCCAAAGGTAGAGACCAGGTTTATAAAACCCAACAAGAAAAGATCAAAGAACTTGAATGTCAACTGGAGCTGAAAACTAGCATGCAGAACCAGTCAGAGGAGCAGGTCTCGCAACTTTCAGATAGATTGAAGGGGAGAGAGGAAATCTGCACCGGTCTTCAACAAAAGGTTGCTATTCATTTAAAGTATAACTGAGATGATAACCTATCGTTATTCACACTAACTAGAATCTATTATCTGCAAAAGGTCAAAGAATTGGAGACCAAGCTTAAAGAGCGACAACCATCAGAATCCGCTAGTTACCAGCAAAAGGTAATAGATTGTCTAACCATTTCGAACCAATCTTTTTATTATTGTTTTCTCCTTTTCATGTGTATGTGTGTCTGACCATTTAATAGTGAGGAGCTGTAACAGGAAGGAAAACTGATGACAGTCAGTTGTTTGATTCAAACAGGTTAACGATCTTGAGAATAAGCTGAAAGAGCAAGTGCAAGAATCCGAGGCCTCTTCACTTGCCCTTCAACTCAAGGTTGCAAATATGTAGCTACGTTATTTTTTATTTATCTGATCAAATAGATAGTTTAACATGAAATTTTTCTTTTCCAGATTGAGGAGCTTGAGAGAAAGCTGAAAGAGCAAGAACAAAAACCGGAATCCATTTTGCTTCGTCAAAAGGTCACTTATATAGCTTGCCTCTATTATGGTGGTGATTAATGTCTAACCATTTGCATGGAATTCATATCCTAGTGCTTTTAAGATCTCAAACCATATTCTTCTTTTGATATCAAAATTACTAATAATTTCCCAATAACAATGTCATACATTTTCCCATTGATAACAAGTGAATTTGCATAGACTCGACTTTTGAATTCCTTCTTGTCCCACTCGCATGAAGTATCTTATGGACACTTTATTTGTGCTTTCATGAGAAATTATAATGCTAAAGCACAAAGATTTTATATGATAATTTCCTCGCAGATTAAGGAGCTAGAAGATAGATTGAGGGAGCAAGAACAACAATTGCAATGTGCACTAGCACGTGACTTTGGTGATGTGATGAGGGCCACTCCTAATGAAGGAAAATGCAGAAGAGATGACGAGTTCATGAGTGAGGCTGAACCTCATATCCTAAGGAGTTCAAACTCAACTAGTCGTCCCTTGAGTCAGGGGAATAAGCAGCCAAGAGTTAGTGATTCTCTCCATGAGACAAGAAGGAAAAGGTATTCTAGAAGTGGAGAAACAGAGAACAACATGGTGATATCTGCTTCTTTGAATGATAAAAGAGCTAGAAAATCTGATCCACCTAAGATTGCAAGGGTTGTGAGAACGGCAAAACCAGTTACCGGGCCGGCTCAAGGACCCTTGACTCACAAAAGGATTAATAGAGATCAGGTCCAAGCAGCTAAGGAGAGAGATACAAAGAAAAAGATTTGGTCCAGATAATATAACCAAAGAGGTCCACTAATCTCTTTGTACATCATAGCCACACTTATTTCAGATGCTTCTTAGGAATTTTTTTTTTAAAAAAAATTTCAAGTAAACAGCTATTTATATTACTTCAAAAATGGATGTAAATATTCTCTCATATTACTTAAAAAACAATCATCCGATGGCTTGCCAATATGCTTACATTTAGGGATGCTTACATTTATCAACCAATGCTCACATTAAGGGTTTAATGAACTTTAAAGTTTTGGTGAACAAGTTTAAGGTTTTTGGTGAATTGGTTTTTGGGTCTTTTTGAATCATTTTTATGGTTCCGAGAATCGGATTTTATGAATTGTTTTTAGGGTTTGGTGAATTGATTTAGGGTTTTCAGTGAATCGGTTTTAAGATTTGGTAAATTGGTGCATTGATTTAGGATTTGATGAATTAGTTTTAGGGTTTAATGAATTGATTTTTAAGTTTAATTAAATTAGTTTTAAGGTTTGATGAATTGGTTTTAGAGTTTTAGTAATCGATTTTAGGATTTAGAGATTTAAGGTTCGATGAATCGATTTTAGAGTTTGGTGAATTGGTTTAAGTTTGAATGATTTTAGGATTTTGATGAACTTATTAGGATTTTAGAGTTTAGGGATTTGTTGGCACCAAAAGAACGAAAAAAAAAAGTAAAATATAGGCATTAAAAAATTTTGAGATTTAAGAATTTTCTTTCAAACTTTGATGAAACAAAAAAGCATAAGATGGAAAAAAAATTTGTAGTGGAGATACCAAAAAAAAATGGTCAAAAGATCCATCTAGTCCCTATACTTTTCAATTTTATTCAATTTAATCCTT